AGTTCTGGGTAGCCTGTGAAGAATACAAAAAGACGCCTTCAACCAGCAAACTTCCTGCCAAAGCTCAGTGCATATTTCAGGAATTCCTGCAGACTGGAGCCCCACGAGAGGTAAGCACTGCTACTATATTTAGCATCTCGTTAAGAAGATACATTGTACAGCTGGGATTCCATGTGTCAAGCATCAAAAGTTCTAAATGGGATTAACTCATTATGCATGTAAAGTCCAAACAATGCCCTGGAGGCTTCAGGCCGTTCTGAGTTCATTAGGAATAACCCCCAGGGTAGAAAAGCGTGAACTGAGGCTCATAAAAGAAAATCTAATCTATGTGGCTTAGTTTCGTCAAATGTATCTTGAACCCATGAATCTACTTAGTATACGTCTTAGTGGAAATAGTACTTTTCTCATTTCTCAATTTTAGTATTTCTTAAAGGAGAACTATGAGGTGAGTGCTTTTCACTCACCTCATAGTTCTAGCCGACCTGTGAAAATGAGACTGTCACAGGTCGGCTCAGTAGATCGGGAGGTGAGCGAACAGATACCGGCGTTCGCTCACCTCTCGATCCTGTCACGGCTGGATTCCCCCCTCCCCGCTCCGATCCTCCAGCGCTGACTGGTGGAACGGACGGGGGAGGGGGCGGGTACACCGGGCTCTGCCTCTAGATAGGCAGAGCCAGCTTTCACTCACGCAGCTGGGCGGATCCCGGCACAATTGTTGGGATCCGCTTGAGCTGCCGCGTCTCAGTATACCGCAAGCTTTAGGGTGACACTAGTTTGTGTCCTCCCGTTACCCTAAGGAGAACTATGGGGAAAAGCCCTAACCCCATAGTTCTCCTTTAAGTATCAGGGCTATTTTCTGTCTATTCTTGGTAGAGAAGCTCTTTCTAAATACCTTTGTACCCTACCCCATGGAACTCAGCTGTGTAGTGCAAGGGCAAAAACTAGGTCAAAACTGAAGGGATTGTTTAAGTAGACCCTCACATTACATAGGGGTCTATATATTACTTTACCACCTAGTCATACGCTGGACTAATACCATTCACATGTCATTCCTGCCACTAGATGGAGCTAAGGAGCATATGAAACTGCTATACTCTTCAGCTTCATCTAGTGGCAGGAATGCTATGCGAACCACATTCACCTAGTGTATTTAAAACAGAACTCCAGGATTTATTTAAATTAACCCCCTGCAGTGGGGCTATACCTGCACTGCAAGGGTTAAGTGCTTGCTTTGTCTAGGGAGTGAAAATAAAGAACATATATTTACTTGATCCTCGGTCTCACCTGGCTGATAGACCGCTCCCTGCAGCCTCTTCTCCCCTGGGCTACAACCTTCTAGGACCTGTGATGTTACCATGTCTATTGCAGATCCATTAGACGTGAGGATGCCAAGGGACATTCCACAGCTGAGAAAGAGGTGGTTTTAGTTGCTCCTAGACCAAAACAAGCAAATAACCCTGGAAGTATAAGGGTATCCCCACTGCAAGGATTCATTTGAATAAATCCTGGAATCCTTATTTAAATAGACCCCATAGTGTTGGTTAATCTATTGTACAATCAGGTTGTAACAAGTATAGCCTTCTTAACGGTGGGCAACAAAGAAGACTGGACAGTTTGCAAAAAAGACAGAAAAAAGAAAATCAATTTGGGAACATTTATGATCAATTTGGGAACATTTATGATATCAGCTGCAGCTATTGGCTTGAAATATTTCACTGCTGGGAGGGGCATTGTTAGAAGATGTCCCCATATGTCCAAAAATAAACTTACACTTCTGCCTAGATGGTATACATAAAAATGATCAGTAGTAGAAAAATTCCCAATGTGCCTTACGCTAAACAACAACATTCTTTTTTGTCTACACAGGTCAACATTGACCATCAGACCCGAGAGCAGACGCGCCAGAAAATTGCACTCGCCAGTCGCAATTGCTTTGACGGTGCACAAGAACAGACCCGCATTCTGATGGAAAAAGACTCTTACCCACGCTTTCTAAAATCCAACATCTACCAGCAACTGCTGGCCCAGTCATCTATTAAGAAAATAAAGTTCTCCTTCACATGAACGAAGACCAAGTGTTTGGAAGTAAGCTACGACATTGAGACCAGAGCTCAGTTCCAGTGATCTAGAACCAGGTTCATGACATCACCCCACAACCACGTGTGTCCTGGAGCCTGGGCGCTGATTGAGAAGACTTTAGAGCAAGGTCCATCCGTGAAGATGAGCCTGAGACAGTAGAACAGAGAAGACGGTATAAAGAATGGCATTTGCTAGTCCTAGTCCAATCCAATTTCCTTGGCACCAGTCAAGAAGATGCCATGTCACGACTGTGCCTGCCTAGACAAATCCCTGTAACCTTTTATGTTCATAGGGGGAACGTTTACAGGATTGAGATGCATGAGACTAGAACTTGAAATGGTGTGATTCCTAGCTGATGTGCTAATGTTTGTGCAATGCGTCTGTGCTGCTAAGTGTCACATCCTCCCACAGCTGTAGTTTTTTTCCTATAGCCGGGGAAGGGGGGGAAAGAAAATTCTGTTTTTCTTACTGTTGCTATGTAGATAATTTATCAAGTGTCTGGAAATGTGTTTTCACTTGGGACACAATGGATGCCAAGTGTTTCAGCTGTATCCATACATAATAATGAGATCCCCTTAACCTACCAAGAACAATGGGAGGAAGTAGAGTACAATGTTTAAAAAAAATGTGACACATTCCTAGCCAGGCTTTTTCCTTTGGCAAACAGGAATTGCAGACACTTGTCGACAGTATTGTGGATGTGGGAACTGACCCCCACGGAAACCTAGATGATCGGTATATAGAAAGCTCCTGGTGTTGATCAAATAACACCAGCAGCATACATACAGTATGTACATACAGTATATGCATATAGAATATCTATATAGATATGCATTTTATTTATATGTTGCTGGACAGCTTATGTAAACTTATTATGTGGCGATGCCAAATGAACACATTGTATTTCTGGAAAATACATTCACGTTGATGTGTAATTTATATGAATTGTTTAAATAAAAAAGAAATAAAAGTAAATAAACAATTGCCTTTATTTTTATTATTAATATTATTTAATTTTTATTTTTTTACTACTCTATTCATTTGAGCTTATTTTTATGACTACGAACTGAGCTAACACACAGTTTGCACTGATATAATAGGAGTCATCAATTATTGCACTATGGCAAGACCATATTGAATATAAGGCACTTAGGGCTCAGAACAGCAGGCAAGAGTGGTGGTATCAAGCCTCAAAATGTACTAATCATGGGTATTTTTATATTTTTATAAAGTATATTTAAACCCAAGAACAAACGTTAATATATTGCATTTATTAGATTTGGTGGCTGCATTAGTATTCTTTCTGTAGCCTTTTTTTTCACCTGGCAATCCTGCCAGAAACACACTTCCTGTCCAAGGTGACAATATCCACTCACACTACTGTATCAATGGAGGAGCAACACTGTCACCCTAGGTATGTGAGAACCACAGAGCACCTTTCCTCATCTTCATATTATAGAGGAGGAGGTATTCTGTAGTCTACAGAGGTGAGCTGGGCAGGGCTGAAAACAGTACTTTGGATTTCAGTGCAACATAGGCATCCTGAGTGCACAGGAAGTTAGGGGCACACTGCATTTTTGACAGTGTTAATAGGTATTAGCAGGGAAGCCGTCCCCATGCTTCTCGTCACTAGGTGGCGAGAAACCATGGAGCCGGCTTTCTGACCAATCAGGAAACCGAATGACTCGCTGCCTGGCTTCCTGATGTCTGAAGCTAAAGGCATCGGAGCATTTGGGAGAGTACTCGGCCACATACACGGTATCGGTGCAACCCTATTTATTATTATACATTGATATAGCTATGATATATATCGCAGTGCTGTACAGAGAGCACTGAGCCAGCCACATCAGTCTCTGTACAGAGGAGCTTACTCTCTAATGTCCCCCCACTCTCACATCAGTCTCTGTACAGAGCAGCTTACATTCTAATGTCCCCCCAAATTCAGATCAGTCTCTGTACAGAGGAGCTTACACTCTAATGTCCCCCCACATTCACATCAGTCTCTGTACAGAGGAGCTTACATTCTTATGTCCCCCCACAGTCACATCAGTCTCTGTACAGAGGAGCTTACACTCTAATGCAGAATGGGACTCTGGGCTTTGTGACCCGCTGGACTCTGGGCTTTGTGACCCGCTGGACGCAGGGCTTAGTGATGCGCTGGACACAGGACCCACCTGAGAGTGACCCTGCAAAGCCCACCATAGATGCTGCACAGCCCATCTGAGACTCTCTATGGTGGGCTCTGCAGGGGTCTCAGGTGGGCTGGTCAGGGCTGCATCTCCCTCCCAGCTCCTCTTACCTGTTCTTGGTGCCTGTACACCTGGCCTCCTCTCCCACCGGACTGGCCGGAAGTGGCGAAAGGTCACTTCTGACCGGTCCGAGATCAGAGCAGTGGCGGCGCTGATGGGGGCCTAGCCTGCTCTGAAGCTGCTGGGGCCAGAGGTGTAACTAGAAACTTTCCCCCTCTACCTGACACCACTCCAAGAGCCCTCCCCCTCCTTCCCAGGGCCCTTCGGTGCAGAGCAGGCCTTAGCAATGGCTGCAGAGCGGCGGAAGGAGAGAGGTAGGGAGCCGGCAGGTAGGAAAATCCCCCCCCCTGCCACCCCTCCTAATGCGATTTAATTTTTATTTTTTTACTACTCTATTCCTATGAGCTTATTTTTATGACTACGAACTGAGCTAACACACAGTTTGCACTGATATAATAGGAGTCATCAATTATTGCACTATGGCAAGACCATATTGAATATAAGGCACTTAGGGCTCAGAACAGCAGGCAAGAGTGGTGGTATCAAGCCTCAAAATGTACTAATCATGGGTATTTTTATATTTTTATAAAGTATATTTAAACCCAAGAACAAACGTTAATATATTGCATTTATTAGATTTGGTGGCTGCATTAGTATTCTTTCTGTAGCCTTTTTTTTCACCTGGCAATCCTGCCAGAAACACACTTCCTGTCCAAGGTGACAATATCCACTCACACTACTGTATCAATGGAGGAGCAACACTGTCACCCTAGGTATGTGAGAACCACAGAGCACCTTTCCTCATCTTCATATTATAGAGGAGGAGGTATTCTGTAGTCTACAGAGGTGAGCTGGGCAGGGCTGAAAACAGTACTTTGGATTTCAGTGCAACATAGGCATCCTGAGTGCACAGGAAGTTAGGGGCACACTGCATTTTTGACAGTGTTAATAGGTATTAGCAGGGAAGCCGTCCCCATGCTTCTCGTCACTAGGTGGCGAGAAACCATGGAGCCGGCTTTCTGACCAATCAGGAAACCGAATGACTCGCTGCCTGGCTTCCTGATGTCTGAAGCTAAAGGCATCGGAGCATTTGGGAGAGTACTCGGCCACATACACGGTATCGGTGCAACCCTATTTATTATTATACATTGATATAGCTATGATATATATCGCAGTGCTGTACAGAGAGCACTGAGCCAGCCACATCAGTCTCTGTACAGAGGAGCTTACTCTCTAATGTCCCCCCACTCTCACATCAGTCTCTGTACAGAGCAGCTTACATTCTAATGTCCCCCCAAATTCAGATCAGTCTCTGTACAGAGGAGCTTACACTCTAATGTCCCCCCACATTCACATCAGTCTCTGTACAGAGGAGCTTACATTCTTATGTCCCCCCACAGTCACATCAGTCTCTGTACAGAGGAGCTTACACTCTAATGCAGAATGGGACTCTGGGCTTTGTGACCCGCTGGACTCTGGGCTTTGTGACCCGCTGGACGCAGGGCTTAGTGATGCGCTGGACACAGGACCCACCTGAGAGTGACCCTGCAAAGCCCACCATAGATGCTGCACAGCCCATCTGAGACTCTCTATGGTGGGCTCTGCAGGGGTCTCAGGTGGGCTGGTCAGGGCTGCATCTCCCTCCCAGCTCCTCTTACCTGTTCTTGGTGCCTGTACACCTGGCCTCCTCTCCCACCGGACTGGCCGGAAGTGGCGAAAGGTCACTTCTGACCGGTCCGAGATCAGAGCAGTGGCGGCGCTGATGGGGGCCTAGCCTGCTCTGAAGCTGCTGGGGCCAGAGGTGTAACTAGAAACTTTCCCCCTCTACCTGACACCACTCCAAGAGCCCTCCCCCTCCTTCCCAGGGCCCTTCGGTGCAGAGCAGGCCTTAGCAATGGCTGCAGAGCGGCGGAAGGAGAGAGGTAGGGAGCCGGCAGGTAGGAAAATCCCCCCCCCTGCCACCCCTCCTAATGCGGCGCAACCAGGGCACATGCTTTCCCTGCCCCCCTCTGAAGGGTTCGGCACTGACGCGGATTAACCCTTCCCTCTCACTGCCCTGCTCGGACAAGCTTCGAGGCATAACTAGAAACCTCAGTGCCCCGATGCAGGAAACCATGAAGGGCCCCCGCCCCCCGGACAGGGACCCCTGTGTGTTAATCACACGTTCCCATGTGAATAATGCACGTTACCGCACAACACACTGATCATTTGTTACAGTAATTTGAATGGCACCCAAAACGCACCTCCAGGCCACAATGGGTTTGACCGCAACACAACACATGGTAACGCAATACCACTGCCTTAGGAGGAAATAATATTAATTATCAAGAGTTTTTTAAACATAGCCTCCAGGCAGTAATAATAACCCCGTCTTCACTGCAGCAATAATAATGTATTATTGCTGTGGGGAAGGGGGGTAATTATTATTGCTGCCTGGGGGAGAATTGGTAATAATCAGGAGTTAATAAAAAAAACCAAGGCAGCAATAAAAATCACCCCCCTTCCCCACAGCAATAATAAATTATCCCTGGGGTATATTAATACTGCAGCCCCCCAGGTTGCCAGCGCTCCTTACATGAGTATCGGCCGTGCCCCCCTGATGGCAGCCCTGAGGTAAAATCCAAAATGTATTGAAGTAAATCCAAAACGAAATCCAAAATTCAATATGCAATGTGTACACCACCACGGTTCTCTCTCACACCAACACCTCTCACGTGTTTCACCACCTGGGCTTAACCATAGAGGATTGACCTCTATGATTAAGAAGTTTACCTCTATGATTGAGAAGTGAAGAGCACATTACAGCCTACACCTAGTGTATGTATTGATTGCAGCCGGAGATAGAATCGGAACGGTGAGTCACAGGGTTCTTTGAAACCTTTAAAGAGACAACGCATGTTGGAAAATGTGCATATTTTGGAGAGATGTACTTATTTATTTTTTTTCATTTTGCCCCAGACATGTACTTTAATGGTCCCCATAGGATATTTATTAAGTCCAAAAAGAAATCGGGGGTAGTCCCTGATGAAGTCACAAGGCTCTCCTTAGCTCACACAACATAAAACCATCTTCCTTTTTATTGTTTGCTCCCCTATAGAGCTGAATTGTAGTTGTGTTTATAAAACTAACACCATTCTGCTAGAAATAGCACATTCTTTGTTTAGTTTTTGCAAACATAATGTGAAAAGAGGAACAGATCCTACGCCTCTCTCTCTTCTATTCTGTTTATGGGGGTATATACCTCTTAGCAGGTAATTATCTCTTTTACAGTCAGGGAATACTG